GAGATTTTCTTGATTCTTTAACTTAAATAGCAATATTAAAATTTTATAGCAATCCAAAATTCATTTGACTTCTCTTAAATGATTTTTTTGTGCCTACAACACACCAAATTTTGGTTTGGTGAATCAAATGTGTTTCGATTGAGTAGTGTAAACTGGCGTTGCAATTTTATTTTTCCTGCTATGATTCAACTCAATTAAATTAATTTAATTATTATTCAGATTTCATTTACCATTTTATTCTGATTACCACAGTCAACATACAAGTCCTACTTTGTGCCAATTCGACGAACTGGTTCATTATTATCTTGTTCATAAAATGATTCACATTCATGTTAAGTACATATCATTTGCATCAATTTGCTTTATCAGACCTCACTTGATGAATATGTACGAGTTGTCGCTATATTTTATTTTTAGAATTAATGAATCATTTTATATACGATTTGTATCAAAACAAGACGCATTATACTTTATCGGTTCCAAGGTTGAAGATAGAAATATTCTAATTGAATCAGGAAGCATCAGAATTGGTAAAAATTGGAAGTCAATTGGTAATCAGCACAATTGTCATCAGTTGAGAAATGATCTTTCGAACATTTTGGACAGAATTTTTGGACTAATCGTTGACGACAAATTTACTACTAAATCAAAATATTTTTAGCGCTAATTGATGATTATGGTTAAGGCCAAAACCTTAATAAAAATTCTATCTTCCATCTAAGTTCTGATACAGTTCAATATCATTTATCTCACAATCAATAAAAAGAATATAAGGGCTATTTATTTTTATTGACAACTGAATTGAAATTTTCCTTCGCCCATTACATAAATTACATTAAGATCCTTCCTATACCCACATGTGAGGGTTATTACACATCAATGATTTTATGAATTATTTATAAATATATACACAGACCATTTAAACGCCTCTATAATTTTTTTTTAGAATTAATTTTTGTAAATTGGGTTATTAGATCAATTGAAGATATTGATAATGTAAATATATAGTCATCATAATTGAATATGCAGGTCTTGGAATTTGTAAATGGAAACAAAAGTAGCATCAATAAAGGAAATGTAACACCAACCTGGAAGTTCATTTTTTACAAGAATATTTTTTTTATATCCATAAATGTTGTTTCCATAAATATTCTCCATTATTTAATTACATCTCCATTTAAAAAACAACTCGAGACTTTTTCTTGATTCAAAGAATTGTTTATGGTATTTTATTGCCAGTTCACGCATGATGGTGATAATAATTTGTTGTTTGAAAAATTTCAATTGTTATAAGAAGAAAGACTGTTCATTTTTGCTTCTACATTGATACCAAGTTGTTAAATACTTAAGCCATTCTTTAGTTCATTGGCACTGCAACTGATTGTGTTTTAAAATTGCAAAAGTATTGCGACTCTTTCAATATTTATTATGACTACCATACTAAATTTAATAATTTATATTATTTTTTATGTGGTAAATTAATCATACCAAATTGGTGACCCAACCCATGACAACTGTGTTTTAATTTATCTCCTTCTGGACGTGAAATTACTTTATAATTACCAAATCTGTTTAATTTACATATATTTATTAAACGGCTTAAAAAGCATATTAAGTAATAAAATTACTAAACGTTTTCTCTTCGCCTTATTTTAAATGTCTGTCACATGCATTTAAGAATAAATGTCTCATTTCCATAAATTGTGGTAGCATAATGTGGGTTTATCATCTTATTATTCGCCTGTATATAATGAGACTATGAATTATTATAGTGATTAACAATGGCTCAGAAAGATTTATTATAATGTTAAACTGTCTTAGACACTATAAATTAACAGATGGTAATAATGGATATTTAGGAAAACGTATAAATTGCATAGTAATTCATCAAACTGTTGAAAAACACGAAGCTTTAAAAATGATTGGTTTTGGAAATCTTTTTCATATCTATAAATTGATTAATATATATGTCTAAAAATATTACAAATTATCTACAATTCTATCAGTTCACCAAAAATCTATGAAGTCATCACTTAATAATAATTGATTCAACATTGATGATAATTTTCATTTTGAGCTATCATTAAAAATAACCATATTGCAATTTAATATTTGTGAATTTTTTTAAATATTATTTGTATACCAGTTTTTACTGTGATTGCTCCAAATGTGTGAAATTCTTTAAATATCTCTATGATAAAATTTCTGAAGTCGTTTCATGCATATCCTAAATGCACTTAAAAATATTTTATTGGCAATCAAATAGCAGCATCAAAATATCTAATTAATTCTATGATATTTACAATAATCTTATAAATAAAAATGGAGATATATATTATTACATTATATATCGATAAAATGTTCGGTATGCTAAAACTCTAAAACGGCTGAACGATTTGGCCACTCTTAGTCTTGAAAAATTCATGCTAATCCAAAAGGTGGGATATTATGTCAAAATCGCATAGAAACTTTACATTTTTTATTTAAATTTTTTTGTAGAAGCGTAATTTAAATAAAGCAATGGCCGGCGGCCCATACGTCAAATGTCGAATGGTTTTCAGAGATTATGTTCAATTAAATTTAATAGGGTATTTTAGATGAATATTATTTAGTTGTAGTATGTAATTTTATTTGTAGTTTTATTAATACCTAAAAGCATTAATAAACTAGAGAAATAAAAGATTTTCGCCATAGTTTTGCATCTTTATTTCAGCAGATTTGTAGTGACGTTCTTAGAATTTTTGAGAGCAAAACTTTTACAATTTTTCTTCGATTCTAAATATATTTTTTCCTAGCTTGTGTGTGTCTTTTTTAATGATAAATGTTTCATTTTACGCATTTGTATGCATTTCACGTTTCTTTTACTTATCACACTTACAAGCCGCGGAATGTGAAAGTATCATTTGTTACGAAGTCATATCGCTCACAGTTTCTTTTGACATGTTGAGCACTCGTAGAATATAAGATTGATTAATACACATATCGTATATCTTTTTTTTATATTGTGTTTCTGATAACCGTATAACACATTATCAGCTTGAAATTAGTTAATTTCTTTTTATCGTGAAAGTTATTGAAAAAATCCTACAAAGGATATCAGAGAGCGCACACCATTATAAAATCTTTTAAAGTAAAGTAAGTAGTCCTTCTCATATTAGGAAAAAAACTTACAAGAAGGTACTTTAGTTGTGTTGAATTTTGAAAATACATTTATTTCTTTTTTTCTGTTCTGAAATCCAAAACTACTAAACATAGAGTTGATTCAGATAACAAAGCGGATTGCAATGATTGTGATTGTTGCTATATTGGGAAAATATTCCAAAATTTCAATTATTGCTTTTTATAAGCAAAAATAAAAAGCACAAGTATTGTAAACATCCTTTTCATACTTTTTGTTATTTTTATATATTATTTCTTGGTATCACACTATGTTTCTCTTAAGATTTTTAAGTTGATCGTGAGGCAGCAAAAGCTATATTATGTATTTTTGAGTATCTCTTTTGCAAAAAATCAATTAATAAAAACTACAACCGCCTTAATTACTTACAAGTAGTCATCAGAGCCACTGGAATTCTTCTTAAATGATCTTCTCAACAATTAACATTAAATGGGTCAGCTTTTATTCGCATTCGTAAAAATTAATTAAAGCAATATGTAATTGAGAAGAATGTAAGATGGTTGTAAATTTAGAAAAGGAATCAAATTTACTGTAGAATAAGAGTATATCAAAACAAGTGGTAATTATTTAAAAATTGCGTACTTTTTAGAGGTAGAGTATGATGATTTTCATATTCTCCATTTTTATATCATTCTTATTCAACAACATCAACATTTTTATAGAAATAGTTTTGCAGATTTGAGTGAATTCTTTATTTATTTTATCATCAAAGTAATAATTATTTTTAATTTTATTATGGTACTTTATAAAAATGCAAATGCATTTGGTGAGACTTAATTATTCATTATTCATTAATACGATTATTCTCATGGAATCTTTATACGGTAATAATTCTCTTTTATATAAGTTTAAATACTTCTGCATCACATAATAATGAATGGAAATAATTAAAAACATTTATTTTACGATTCAGTTATATTCGCAATGTTAAATTAAATTTATTTACTTTATTACAGCACTTTGAACTATATAAATAATTATTTACCATCGGCGTCGTTGAAATGATTCGACATTTGCCCCGAAGGAATTTCTTATCCCTGGTTCAAAATGATCCTCATTTATTTCTGATGTTAATGAGAGACCATTAAACGACTGAATGGTTTTGTTTGTGTATAGTTTATTTATTAAATTCCTCTTGTTATGATATCTGGATCAATGGGACCCATTACATATTCGAATATGTACATGTTTGTATAGAAGTATCTGTACTTTTTCATATCACGCTATTTATTCTATTTAAATTTCTTCAGAGCTTGAGATCGTTATAAAATTCCTGATGAGGCCGAATAAAGACATTGTTTGTTGGGATGGGAATGGGGGAATTTTTATTAGAATAATAAAAATAAAATATTATAGATTATTATAGTTATGAGGTTAGCTAAATTTGTGACAAAAAATAATAGAAAAGGCATTTAATGCCTTTTTTGTTGTTATTTATTTATATATCATTTGTCCATTTCTTACCCCAGGGTGATAAGAAATTACATCAGATGCATTAATGTTAACACTGCAATACATATTTAAGTTATTTATCAAATATGTTCAATTTTATGTTTGGTGATTACAAATCTTTAATTCAATAAGAAATCATTGATTTTTTTTCATAGTCGTAGAGTGCAAAAATTTAATAACCTATCTAATAATTAACTTATACAAGTTATACTGTTTTGAGGCATCAGTAATAAATAACTTAGTTTATCTATAAAAATTTTAAACGAGTCCAATATGTTATCTATTATCTATTAATACTTATTTATCTCATTTTGTGTTTTTAACTATGATTTTTTTTACATCATATATTAATTTTGTCTTTTTCTTTCAGGTGAGTTCTTTTTTGCATGGATACATAGTTTTACATTTGTTTCTATCGACCTCCACGATGATTGGTGTAAGTTTTTCCAAAAATTGTAATTATGATCGCCATTGCTTTATTTGAGAAATTTATTTATTTAACCATTGGTAATTTTTTTAATTTACATTTGTTGAGTTAATATTTAGAATATTAAAGAAACGAGATATTGGAGATAAAAATCGTATGTAAATTTTGTTTACATGAAATAATTGTTTTAACCACGTCTAAAAAAAATCATGGTATCCCGAATACATGGATAAATTACAATTGTATTTCAATTCCAAACCCCATTAAATTACGAATATCAGCAACCCATATCAAAAAAGCTTACAAAATGTATCGGTTTAACCAATATTTACCGTTCTTTTCATATAAAATATATCCGAATGGGACTTTAATCATTGAAATTGCCCATTCATTTCATTTGTGCCGAGCTCGAACAGTACCTACAGAACACGCCGCAATGTGTTTAGTTATTAACAAAACAGGGGAAGAAAAACCCCTACGGAAGGAATCTACATTTCACGCCACCCGTATGAAACCATATGCCACGTAAGGGTAGAAGAAACAATGGAAAATATTCGATGTTCGACCGCATCGGAAAACTTTTTAAACGATTTACTAGGACAACTATTTTACTGACAGTAGGCGTTAGATAGATATATGGGTTTTGAATTTTGAAGAAGGGAAAAATTTTTATTAGGATAGTTGTATGTATACATATTTCAATGAATAAATTTGCAACAATCAAACTTTAGAGTAAACTAAAATTGGCATCGTGCCTTATGGCAAATTGCTGGTACTTACCAAAATTTAATTTTACCAAAAAAAAACTTTAAAATTTCTTGAAAAATTAAAAAATTAGATTTCTGAAATTTTCAAAAAAAATTGACTTTTTGAAAAATTTGAATTTTTACACATACACATATATACACACATAAATTCTTTTAAGGTATGCAAAATGTTCACAATCCTTGAAACGTAAAGATATGTAAAACATTTCATTTTCGATCGTTTGCGATTGCTATATTAGTACGGGGAATTTAATATAAATAACAGTGAGTTTTTATACAAGATAGTCATAATTATTATTTCAAGTCGTTTTTATTATAATTAAAATAGTGTTCTGAATACATGTTATATGAACTTTGATTAATATTAAACAATGGTAAAATATTTCATTTTTATGATTCCCAAAAATCATGTGTGCTACAGTAACTTTTTTTTTTCAATAATTTCTAAGGCTTTCCCAATAACTAAGGTTAAAATTATTCTACTATAAATAATACTGTGGTGTAATGTAAAAATTGCACATTATCTTTTACCTTTTATTATTTAACCTAGATCATAATTCTATTTACCTAGAGACATAATTCTAGGACTAACACTTGTCTAGTGAGTTAGTCATGAAATAATCTTGATGAAAATATGTTATGACATTTAGCTTCTAAATGATAAATTATGAATGTAATGGAAGCCCTAGGTAATAAATCACACGTCATAGAAAGTTTGTTCTCTACTACATGATTATGAACTAGGCGAAACTAAGATACATGAATAATTAAGTGGGTATAGTTGATTTTGTGTAATTAATTTTCATAAGTGATAATTGATTGATTGATTATAATTGATTATTATAAAACAATATAATGGCTAAGATTATTTTTGATTTGTAAAATGTACTTAATTCTTCTGGTACACAACTCACCCTAGTACTGAGGCATACACACGGGTCCAACAGACCTCAGCGGTGCTCAATTAAAAAAAAAAAAAAAAAAACGAAAATAAAATTTGAACTATCTATAATGCAATGAAAAATGCACAGATTCGAGCGACTTTGTGAAAAATGGTTTTTGAAAATGTGCTATTCGTTGGGGTCCAATAGACCCCAGGTGTAGGAGAATGGTCAAAATTTATATTAATAAAAACTAGAGTTGGAGCTTGCACGCGTACAGTAATCTTGTTTTAGTCAGATAAAAAATAATAACGACCGGTTTTAAAATTAAAATTAGGTCCAACACCATACTTTATAAAACGTCCTCATTACCTCGGACAGACCCCAGGCGCCGCCGGTTCATTAATCTTAGTTTAAGGCACAAAAACAAGAGGTCAATCATATCATAGTCATTAAACGTGGGTGGGATAACAATACCATGAACAACAATAGAGTATATGGAGAAAATTATAAACGCTCTCGAGAAGTCATCGGCGTTTAGTTATTAGTTGCTTAATATCCTCTTTGAAATAATAAATTTTAATTGCTAAGACTGAGTTGAATAACTGGATAGAATTTATTGCTGTAATTATCGGAAGTTGACAATAGATGCAAAACCCTTGAGGAAGATGGGGAGTTCCTTGGCAATTTATATGTATATGGAGGAACGAGGTGGTGGTGATTTTTATGGATAGAAAAAAAGGAACCATACGAGTCATGACAGCGGGATATTTCATAATTGATCATTTTTTAAAATTTTGGTTCGTTATATAATCATTTATCAATTGGTGACCCCAACAAAATTTGCTCAACGTTGACCAATCCCAACAAAATGTTCTGCATCATTTTTACATTCGACTAGCGTTCCATAACAAATTGTTATTCATTTTAAAAATACAATTTTGCCAATCCAAGCACAATTAAAAAAATATTTCAAATTTCAATCATTGCACTCGTTTCTGTCGTTTGCAATCGTTCATTTCGGAATGCCGCCTGGTTCTAAAATTGATATTTCATTTTCAAGCATATCTCATGGAGGAATGAATTCTTTTTTAATACGTCCGTTCTACGTTTCAATGCCCACAGTTATTTATATCAAAGCAATTCAGACGAATGAAGTCATTTCAGTAATAGAATATCCACTCATTGCACCGAGTGCATCGAGTACAATGTACTAATAAAACTCGGGTGAACGGTTTTGCACATAAACAAATATGAGACGGGTTGGCGTTATGAGATAGTGAGATAGATAATTGTGCCATTTAAATTTTATTCTGTAGATTAAAATATAGAGCGTAATTGTTTAGGATGGAGACACGAAGGGTTGCTGGTTCGATCACAATCTCGCCCAGCTCGATACCAAGCAGCATGATATCAAATTTGTATCAAAAATACATAGAGAAGGATGTTCTAATCAATGATAGTTGATATGAAGTTATGCATAAATGGTAGTCTGACTGAAGGCAGGTCGATGGTGTAAGAGCACCACAAATCAATGATTTCCTTTCCCTCCTTTGTTTATTATTCCCATTTTTCTCTCAAAACTTTGGTTCCTTGCTTCCTGGTCATGTGCTTTCAGTTGATTGGACTAGTTGGTCTCTATACTTCCTCTTCTGGCGCAAGTTATCAATCATTTGCATTCTTCTTCCCAAACTTCTCAGTCCTTTTATTTTACTTTCGATGACGTCGTGTAGGAAACACTCGATTCAGTTACCATTTTTCACTTAGATCTAAACAGAGACCAGGAGTCCAATCAACAGAAAGCATAGGACCAGGAAGCATGGAATCAAAGTTTGGAGAGGAAAATGGGAAAAATATACAAGGGAGGGAAAGGAAATACTTGATTTGTGGTGCTCTTACATCATCGACTTACCTTTGGTCAGAATACCATTTATTATTATACATAACTTCAACATCAACTATTATTGATTAGAACATTCTTCTCTATGTATTTTTCCCAACTGATATATTTCCATCAGCTGCACATTGCATTGCTAGGGAAATAAATACTGCGTACTTAACGTATTCATAAACAATTTGATTATTTTTAGAAACCTCAACATATGAAAACAAACAGTGATATGTTGACAGAACTATCCTATACTGAACCGATTTAGTTCCAGCATTTTACGATTGAATAAACAAACGATGATTACCATAGTAAATTACATACTGAATTCCAGAGTAATTGAATCTAAAGTTTTAAGAACATAAACAGCACTCATGTGTCGTATGATATATTTTAATTGGATGCTATTTCATATATAGATAAATATAAATAGTTCTAAACAAATTCCTATGGGTTGAGGCAGATTTATACTTTAGAATTTTTTTAAATATAGTACTACACATTATTTTTAAATTTCGTTTTTCATTAATTTCGACTACATCCAGCTCACCATCATGCTTGATGAACAAATTTGTTTTTTATAAAATTTATGATGTTACATATGTCTAATATAATTGTTCCTTTAATTATCTTCAAGTTTTATTTCTTTAACGATAGCGCAGTAATTGTTTTATGGCTTTTATGAATTTTTTACACATTTAGTTTATTAGTTAATGGTTCTAGGCACAATTAAATTATATGAGGAGGTACCAGCTGTGTAGTAAAACATTTTTGTTCTTTCGAATTATATTCTTATTATATATTAATAATAATTGGATTGATTGGGCTGTACCCAAAGGCGTTTTGTAGAGTAGCATGTTTTATGAATTCTTATAATATTTTGCTCATACGTTTGTGTATTGATTCACCAGCACATATTTTTATACAAAATTAGTTCTATGTTGGTCCATCCATGTAGCGTCCAACATTTGTCTTTTATTACTGGTTACTTCAATACTGGGTCCTTTACTAAAGGTTGGGAAACACAGGTAATATCTCGTTTATAGTTCGTTTGGAGTGAGTGAACTTACTCCAAACAACTCGATTAAATTCATCTCGGCTTTTGAAATATTTATAAACACGTACCTATGTCTATAATGCATGGTTGGATGGAATGCGGCTCCGTCCAGAGCACGGAAATATCTTGTTTTCATTAATAAACACTTACGATCGTCGTGTTTTAATAGCTGAACTCCAGGTGTGAAGACGCCAAATGATGGGGATTAATTCATACAGTTGTACGTTATTTAATTATATTTAAAATCTGCATTTTGGGTATAGTAGTAGATGTCCTCACCGAGTCATAACTCATAGGCTTGTGTCTAGAATCTTTGCCTAGGGGACAAAGATTCCAGATTCTATAACCACCTCAGCAGCCTTATACCAAACAGTGGTGATATCTGTTTCCACTTGAAAAAAAAATCTAAAATATGTTTGCGTACCTTCCCCAGATTGGTGCATCAAATTGAAAATATATCATCA